CGTTTCTTAAATAAATAGCGTATGTAGGCTTAGATAAGCTGTGGGTTTTGATAGAAATGAATTAAAACCCTATAACCCGAGCGCTTTCGAAAGGTGGACCTTTCTTCTTCAGTTTGCAACTTGAACCAGCTCTTGAACCGACGTATTTTTCTAACATCATGAATAAGCTGTGAGTCGGTAGCTGTCCAGTTGAGGTTGAAAGGTTTGCACCAGACCGCCCCCCCTCCCCAGAATTGATAACGATTGTAACCGCACCTTTCTTTACTAATTTGCCCCGAATTTCAAATAAGGTAATTGTAATAATAACATTTAAGTACACTTTATCTGCCGTTTCGCTATGAACGAGCCTTATCACTCAGTATCAAAGCTTATTTGGCCAGCTGGGCTAAAACTCACAACGTCTCAATTAAAGGCTATTCCATTTATTAGACTAGAATGGTCATATCTACAGCTTCAGATAATCAAGGACAAAAATAAGAATTTGTTACAGTTAACACCTTGCTTTTTAACATTTTAAACAACTGTCAGTTGATAATGAACGAGACTAATTAAAGAAACGTTCATTATCCTTGTTTGTATTTCAACTGCAGAGTAATACTAAAATGTTTGACCTCTATCTGGCAAAACTAAAACAACTGCCGTCGATAATATAAGTCAGATAAATCAAACTAGGGTACAAGCTACAGTGTGAGAACAATAGATTTGTAGTCTATTCGCAAGCTTTCTGGTTGGAACGAAGTTAGAAACTGAATCTAAAACCAGGAATATACATGTATGTACTGAAGCTTACATTTAGTGGTTACAAACCTGTATCATCAGCATATTAAAACCTTAGATAACGAAGCACATGCACACACACACACATAAGAAATACCAATTTTTTTTAATAGTGTATATGAACATAATCATCTTGACATCATTATTGTGCTCATACAACTATATATGTGTGCTAACAAGGGGGTGGAATGCCAACATCAGAAGATTTACTTACCATTCCCATCGACTTGCATTAATAAAATGCTTATTAAGTTTAATATTAATTATTATTCTGTTCCATTAGGAAAATTGCCTTCTTACAACTGGCTGTAGGCTGAATCGCAGGCTATATGCGGAACGTTGTCGGCTTGAGCACTTATATTTGCTCCTAATTATATATATATATATATTATATTTTTTCCATGTATAAATTATACGTGATGCTTGCGGACAGGGTTAAATCTGAGAGATTTTAAGCCGTTATTTAACGCGGATGATAAATAACCAAGAGGAAATGCATCCAGTTTTTTATTGCTGCTATCTCCAAGCCTTGATGAACGTGGTGTACATTCGTTTTCTGTATTAAAGTATTGCTTACTTTTGTTTAATTCTGATAGGATAAACATTGTAATCCTACCATGTTTTGTTTATTGATAACATATATATATATATATAATAAAAATATATGTGTATGTGTGCTCCGTTAATTTTCTTCTATCTAATGTTTGAATGAACTTTAAGTTCATTAGGAGTGAGCTTATGCTGTTATATTCCGCATTATTTCTTTACAGATTGAATTACATTATTTTGCGTTGTCTAAACAACTAGTTATCTAACCGACCGACTGACTGTATGCGTGTATGTATATATTTTATGCATTTGTTTGTTTGTTTGTTGCATTCCGTGCAAAGTTGTACGAGGGCTATCTACGCTAGCCGTCTTTAATTTTGAAGTGATAGAGTAGAGAAAAGGCAGTTAGTCAACATCACCCAGCACCAGCTTTTATTCTACTCTTTACAAATGAATACTGGGATAAACCGTCATATTATCACACATCAACGGGTGAAAGGCGAGCATGTTCGAACATAGTTTCGGATTTCGATACCACGACCCACAGATAACAAGTCAAGCGCCTTGACCACAAGGCTATGCTATTTTGTAAATAAAAGATAAAAAGAGACAATATTTTATTAAGCAATGTTGCATTTGTTTCTTTCAACAAAATTGAGTTGCCAAATAGTTTTAGTGAAACGTTTGTTTTTATTACTTTATGTATTTAAGCACAGGATTACCGATAGGGTCGATATGGACTTCATCGGCTGATTAAACATCTTCCTTTGAACTATTTATGCACTGATTTCCTCGTGGGTCCATGCCTTTGCTGGTTACAGGGTCCTTAATAATACATTATCCATTAAAAAATTAAACAAAAATACCATTAATATTATAATTAATCGCTTATCATTTTTGGATCAATTCTTTACACTGAGTGCCGCAACGAACAAAACATTAAATTACTGAAAGGATGTAATACAAGGACCCTACCAGTAATGAATTGTATAAAAACAAATCGTTACATTCAGGGTTAAATGCATATAAATATTTAAACATAAAAATCTGCTTGCATGGAGACTTTATAATAATAAAAAAGTGTTTTCAGATTCTATTATTGAAGTTTCCCTGTCGGATCACGAAAGGTCCAATCGGTTAACACCTTTGAAAACTGCAGGAACCAGTAACGAAGACTTGGATTTAGTAACACACACTTATGCAGAGAGAAAAATCTCCCGTTCTGATACACCTAAGAATATAGACGTTGAAGACGACTCTAATGATGATGTTGGGAAGGATTTGAACCTAAAAGAGGATAAAGCACCAAAACATTGTGACAACAATACATCTACAGGCTCAAATTATCTTCCTAAACAAGCCAAGCAACGTCGATCTCGCACTAATTTTACACTGGAACAGTTGAACGAACTGGAGAGACTATTTGATGAAACTCACTATCCAGATGCTTTTATGAGAGAAGAGTTATCTCAGCGACTAGGTCTTTCAGAAGCACGTGTTCAGGTAGGAAGTTTGACTGAGTCACTTAATATTCATATTATGTTAGTCAATGATATAAAACCGTTTTACAGATGTGTATTTTATGCGAATCTATATTTCAAATTAAATGATTTTGGCTTCATTTGTAAATGTATAAAAGTAATTAATATTTATAATGCCACATGAATAAGCAACAAACTCCTGAGTTTTATTGTTGCGTCTTTCATTCTTATTTTACAGAAATTTTACCAAAATGTTATCTATCGATCATGATTGGAAAATAAATATTTGCTTTTAATAATAACTTTACAGCGTTCATGTGAAACATCCATGATAATGCTACTAGTTTAAGTGAAATAAAAACGTAAAGCTGAACAAAATAATGTTTATGTAGTTTTTTTATGCAAGAATAAATATAGAATAATGTAATTTATCTTATGGTATAGGTTATTACTTGATATTTGTTTTGTACAACTTAATTGTTGAATTTGTTTGATCAAATTACAAACTGTCAATACTTATATATTTAATCATATTACAAGCTGTTGTTTTTAACGATATGTTATTTTAAGAGATCTGTTTCCTCAGTTACAAGTCTTTATATAATGTCTGTTCCGTCACATCACAAGTTGGCTTTAAAGATCTGTTAAACATATTACAAGTTATTAAAAATCGGCTTCATCACGTTACAAGTTGTTTTTAAAGGTCCCTTACTAGATATTACTTCGCCCCCCCCCCCCCAAGTGGCACAGCGGGATGTCTGCGGACTTACGATGATAGAATCCGGGTTTCGATACCCGTGGTGGGCAGAGCACAGATAGTCCGTTGTGTAGCTTTATGCTTAATTACAAACAAACAAAGAAGATATTACTTCTTGTGAAACATCTGTTTCGTCCCACAACAAGTTGTCTTTAAAAGTCTGTTAAACATATGACAAGTTATTAAAAATCTGATTCATCACATTACAAGTTGTTTTGAAAAGTTCCTTACTAGATATTAATTATTGTTAAACATCTGTTTCGTCCCACAACAAGTTGTCTTTAAAAGTCTGTTAAACATATGACAAGTTATTAAAAATCTGATTCATCACATTACAAGTTGTTTTGAAAAGTTCCTTACTAGATATTAATTATTGTTAAACATCTGTTTCGTCCCACAACAAGTTGTCTTTAAAAGTCTGTTAAACATATGACAAGTTATTAAAAATTTGATTCATCACATTACAAGTTGTTTTGAAAAGTCCTTACTAGATATTAGTTATTGTTAAACATCTGTTTCGTCCCACAACAAGTTGTCTTTAAAAGTCTGTTAAACATATGACAAGTTATTAAAAATCTGATTCATCACATTACAAGTTTGTGCACTGTGAGATTCTCTAGCTAATCATAAGAAGGGTTAAGATCAATACTACAAATGACCCTACTTTCTGTTAATCATCCTGAAAAGCATACACACAGTTCCACATTTCTTCAATTCTAGAGAATTACAAGTTTAACAAAGAATACCTGTAGGAAGAGCAAATTGGGGTATCAAAGCTATTTTCCTTGTTGTAAGATTCATTAAGTCTTAGAAGATAAATTTACTATTTTAACTCCGTATGTGTTACTGGCTGAAGTTCAAGCCTTTGGCCTTTTGTGTTGAGTTATTATCCCCCAATTTTTTTTAAAAATGTGCTTAAAATTAACAGAACAGTATTTGTTTGTTTGTTGGAAGTTAAGCACAAAGCTACACAATGCTCTGCCCACCATGGGTATCGAAACCCGGTTTCTAGCGTTCAAAGTCCGCAGACGTACCGCTGTGCCACTGGGGAACAACAGCACAGTAAAGTATATAAACTTAAATTTCTACTATATCCTCTTTAGAATATATATAAGCACAATATTTTGATTTGATTTATGAGTTTACGGCGTGTTTTTTTAATCTCAGACTGATATTGAGAATATTTGTAAAGTTGAGCCACAGAAGCACAAACAAATTGTGTATTAGCTGAGGTGATGGTCATATGACTCACTTTTATGTTTATTTAAACGCGAAACTACACAATGAATGAGGTATTTTCGGATTCTTTTGTATGTGAACACAAAATTCAGTCATTCCAAACAACACTCCCGCCAGACAAATATGAAATATTTTATTACCATTGATAACACGGGTCAACAAAAATTATTTCTCTGTTCCTAAAAAAATAAATAAAAATAAAACCGTTTTTGTGTAATATGACGATGTTGATTCTAAAAATCAAGTTGAAAATTACTGATCACCTCTAGTTTTCGAGTTATGATAAATTTATTCATATTATTCTTATATATTGTGAAAATAACAACAAAGTAGAATTCAAATAATTTAAAATTTCACGGTTTAAAATCGAAGATTATGTTGAAAGTTTTTACAACGCGAAAAACATATGCTTAAAGCTACTAAAACTGTTAATATTTATGTCTATTATATCGAAACAATAACACTTTGTCCAATATATATATATATATAATGAAGCATTGTGATCATGGTAGTAACAATCCCTATGGACTAACATCACTGTATACAGATAGTTACTTTTCTCGACTTTACACGAGATTGAAGCAGTTTGGTTGTATCAGTTATACACACTTTGCCATGTGGATTCGTGAATGACAGGACATACAGAGGTGGAAGGTTTTCACCACCCGTGACGAAGCGATTAGCACAAGCTTTTACGCTGATTGAATGGTTCTTCCGATAATGCTACTTTTATAGAAGCTGAAACTTTTCATTAACTAGACTTAATTTGTCGCTGAAGTGTCCAAGTAGATGCGAAGGGAGAAGCATGGGATCGCAAATGACTAGTAAGTCGTGTCGCCTGCTTTATTCACCAATGTACCCGTGAAATAGAAGCAACATCTGAGTTTCCAGGACATCATTGTGAAACTTCAAAACTACAAAAAGTGGCTCTGTCTTGTATTTGGGCTTATATGATATATTAGATAATTTCTCTTGATAAACACCGATTAAAAGAAATCGTTGGAATAAAAGAACAAAGGAATCGTCTAACTGACGTTGTTATCTGGCTGTCTGAAGCAACAAATTATTTAATTTCAGTGATTGCATTTAACCGGATTAGTCTGAGTTTAGCAACTGACCAGTCGTTAACATCGTTAAAAGGCCTATTTGTTCCAAGATGGTGACCATGTGAAAATGTGCCTAACGATTCTTACTGGTGAAGAATGAGTACACAACATCGCCTCTGTTTAGAAGGAAATAAGAAGATTCCACTTCCTAGTTCGCCAGCTCAGTGTTTAAACTGATTAAATAAACGTTTTTTTTAAATGTTCCCTTCGGTTGAATAGAAAAACAAAAACAACTACATGCATCATATTTTGTACAGGGTAAATCCTCTATAGAAATTATGTAATAATAATGAGCACTTTCAAGAACAAGTAATTTTGTTTCAAAAACTGGATTCAAAACAGTAGCTAATAAACAACACATAGTTACTGTTGTATTTGATGTGAAACTCAAAGTTTGTAGTTTCATTGCAATAAAATAATGTTATGTTTTGTGCGAAAATATGTTTTTCAACGGTAATAGGCGCTTCGAAAACATAAAATAAAAGTTTTATAGCTGGTGAAATACATTTAAAGTTATGATAGCAAACGTTGTATTCTGCGTAGATAAACAATAAACCACCTTTTTTCAATAACTAACCTATTCGATACATATTATCATCGTAATATTTTACTGAAAAGTTGCCCCCCCCTCCCAGTGGCACAGCGGTATGTCTGCGAACTTACAATGCCAGAAACCGGGTTTCGATACTCGTAGTGAGAAGAGCACAGATAACTTTATGTAGCTTTGTGCTTAACTTCAAACAAACAAACTGAAAAGTATGGATAGGTTTTGAAAATGTTTACATTACACATATTCAGTTTTTCGCGTTATTGCTTTGAATTCCCCACAATATTTTCTGAGGATAAAAGGAATGATTAAATACTAAGTAAGAAAAGGGTGATTTGGAAGGGTTTTACCAATGATTTATAAGATAAAATTCCTTTGCTCTTAAAAATACGTTTATCGTAGCATTTACGATTAAAACGGCGAAAGCTGGCAAAGCGTTGGAACCAATAGACCTACAATTTTCGATAAGAATCACGTTAGCTGAAAATGTTTGTTTTGTACATTTATTCTAATTTGTTTAAATTCTTGACCTATTGGTTTTTAACATTTCGTTAGTTTTCGGAGTTTAAGTTGTAACTTTTAAATATTATGTTATCCATATAGGGCCAGTTAGAGGGTGGGCCACGAGGGCCATTTGGTCCAGGCCTCAAGCTCTGAGGGGGCCTCAAATTGAGACACTTATGATTTTGCATTTGTTAAGTTTTGTAACTTGTTGTTATGTGCCTCCCAATCAGACCAAAATGTGATACACACTCTGAGCTTAGAACTGCAAGTTATATATTTGCATATATTGTATATATATATATATAATTATATATACAAATATATACAAAATATACTTTTCTTTTGTTTTTCATATGTCATTATTGTTTTTACATTATAGTCAAGGGCCTGAAAAGATAGAAGTGGATTGGGCCTCTCTGAACCTCTGAGAGGGCCTGAATGCATATATAAATAGCGATTTAGAGAATATTTTGATTCTTGACGTCTAGTCCCACTGAAGAGTTGTGGTATTAAAAAAACAGGCCTCTTGGGCAATGACTTGTGAGAGAAAAAGTTAGATTTAAAATACATTTTTTACACGCTGATGATTTAGAAACCGCATATAAATTTTAGGCCCATATCATAAAATTGATGGGAACGTCAGCCAGATAAGCTTCTAAATTTCATACTCATTTAACAATTAAAAACTTTCGGCATAAAACGTGCTCCAGTGTAATTTCTATATTTTTCATTTAGGATGTCAGAAAAAATACTTAAATAATTCAATAAAAATCCTAATTAATTTTATTCTACTCTGTATAAAATAATATAAAGGTATGTTTATTCATGTCATAAATTTTGGGATAGATTCGGAATTATGATTTTTAAAAATAATTATCAAGAATCAGCAAGTTAAGCATTATTAGAGATTTTTCACAACATTACATTTTCTGAATAGTGTTGGCATGCTAGTTTATAATAAAAATATTATGTAAATAACTAGTCTTCCTTTGTTACAAGTTTTAATCCTGATTATAGAACAAATATTTCATGCATAAACTTTCATTGTATTTTGACGTTATAAACAAGAGTTATAAATGTAAAGGCAACAAACTAAAACATGGATAGCCTTTCACTTGATCTTAATACCCGACCATAGGACAAATACATCATGCATATAAATTCCTTGCATTGTGATATTATAAATAAGTCTTATAAATGTAAAGACAACAAACTGAAATATGGAGAGCATTTCACTTGTTCTAAATACGTCTCCTGTTCATTTCACGGACGTTCATTGTTTCTTGAATGTTGTGAAATTCTTTTAAATTTCTCCCATCCGTCGACAAACACACACAAGCTCGCGCTCTGTTTTATATTTTTCATCTTTTTCCTGGTGAATTACATCTTAGGATTCTATTCCAATAAGAGATACAACTTGAAGATAATTTGTTTTCTATTCGGTTTTCATTAATCAGTTTAGACTAAACCTTGTGGTGAGCCATATAAACATTGTAGATGAGAACAGTAAGGTAATTAGAATTACTCATAAAGAACGCACTCTGAGCCTCGAATCGAAAAAAACTAGCTCTCATTTTTCTAAATTCTTACCACACTTCAAGGAAGGGATAATTTCAAAAAGGGGAAATTAATTAAACATCGAACAATCATGCCTATGTCTTATTTCGCATTTCGTGTTTTTATCATTTATGTGTATGTATATAAACTCTTGTATAGGAAACCGAGCTAATGCAGGATTTCTCGTGGCCAATAATTAAAATATATTACCCTCAGAGTGTCATGAATTCATGTGTACATGGAGAAATCACCCAAACAAAGCAGAATAAATGCGGAGATTTCAAACAGGTAATATCATTAGAACCGCGGGCTTCAGCCGTCTGGCGTAAAGCCTCAGGGACGAACGAATTCAATTAAGAAAGCAGCGTTTATTTCAAGTCGACTCAACGCAGCCGGATTTACATAATTCCAATTTAAATTTGGACTGTCGTACAACCTATTCATTATCAATTGTCGTTTAACAAGATTGAATTTATCAGAAACAAGTGAACCGACTAAAGCCAGCCTATTAACGAACGCAAATAGTGATATGGCTCCAGTAACAATTGGGTTTGAATTTTGATAATACTTGATTAATATCTATTTCTCTTCATCTGTATAACAATGTATTATTTTAGTAAAAAATCAAACAATAGGCGTGATAGGAAAAGCACTCTATTCAAATTACATTTATATCCTCGAGACCACGTGCGATTTCACAGTATTAACTTTCATAGCATTCCGCTTTTAAACTTAAACATTCATATATTTATTTGTTGTGTTTTCGCAACCATGAAACAATGAATATACCGTAGTTTGAATCATATTTCTGTTTTTCTGGCAGGTGTGGTTTCAAAACCGAAGAGCCAAGTGTCGAAAACACGAGAACCATGTTCAGAAGAGTAAGCACATATATATAATATATTTAGAATTCTATAGAATCGTATGTATGGGTTTCTGTTCCCCTGTCATCTTCACCGAGGAAGGTGCCAACGTATTTACATTTCTGTTTCTTTAATAAGGGTCAGCTATAATTTTATCTAGAATTTGGCATATCTTCTAGTAATCAAAACATATTTTTAAACCCAGGGAAAATATTTTTTTGCCTTATTAAGTGCTTAATTTGCTTGTTTATAGACACAAGTGTAATTAATAAATTAATAATATACATACAAGGAGAAACATTTCAACTGTAGCTTTACTTTACAAGATATTTTAGATATTAAAAGGTGACCACACCTAATATTCAGACGTGTTTCAGAAGAGACAGGCAACGAAGCTAATATCTTTAGAATTAAGTGGCTAAAATAATTTGTTGTAATTCTGATGTTTATCAATATCGACTATGAACACTATGCTATATTTATAGCAGATAAAGCCAAGTATAAAACTTTTTTGCTATTAGTTATTGTCAGATTAATATATTGAAATTAACTATATATATAAAATAAAAACAATGTTTTAATTCTTTTACTAGCAATGCCATTACCAACCTAATATTTTCACTATGACAGATGTTGTGATATCCAGTTATCAATATAAAAGGTATAATTTAAAAGACATATCGAACATTAAGGGCCTGGCAGGGCCTGATGGTTAGGAGGCTCGACTCGCAAGCTGAAGGTCGCGGGTTCGAATCCTCGTCACTGAACACACTCGCCCTTTCAACCCTGTTCGCTGGTAAAAAAGTAGCCCAAGAGATCGTAGTGAGTAGTGTTGATTGCAAACTTCAAAAAATATAAAACGAATTACACGGTAATGCTCTTGTAAACATCTTAAATATTCGCCAACTTTTAGATGTAAGCATTTAACACAAGAATAATTATTAAACCTTACCATTACCAATATATGTATATTATGCAATTACTTACAGTTTATGTATTAGGCACATTTTTCACTAAGATTAACGCATTTTGGTTCAGCTCTTTATAATAATTCATTACAGATTAATAATTAAGCTATTTTCTCATGTAACACGAATATTACTTAAACCAATCAAAAGAGTAAACCATAAATCATGTTCCCCCCCCCCTTCTTGTTACTAAGGTATCAAGCTGACGTACATGGTCTTAAGAAGATAAGTAAAAGATTTTACGCCCGATTATCGTTTCAAGTTCGATATATATTACCTTCTAATTTGCACTCAAGAAATATAAAACATTTTTGGAGTGTAGCGTCTCATACGAGCAGGATTGACTCCCACACCTTACGCACGTTAAGCAAGTTGTCCACCAACTGAGTTAAAGGGCTAAACCAACTAGCAATTGATATCAAAACCATTTTTTAACAACGCAAACTAGCACAAGCGTTCCCCTTACCCTATGAGGGGATCTCACGACTTTAAACACTCAATGTTAAGGTTCTACTGCGTTAAAAGTGTTGTATTTACAAAGTAAAGCTTTTTTCAATGCTTTATGTAAGCCAGTTATACTTATCCACTTTACTTACATACATGATCATCGAATTCTTAAGTCATACAAAATATAAAACATTCCAAAGGGAAGATAAGTCACAGAAAACCACCTTGATGATTTTTGACCGTTGCTAGAAGCTCAAAAGCCACCATTAGTTAGCTAGTATTATCAAGATGTGAAAGGTAAATTGCTTTTGGAATTAACTACATATAAAAAAGGATATTTAGAATATTTCAGCTAAATGGTTCAAGTTGATTACTATAACGATATGTAAGTTAGATTTTTAACTTTTTTGATAACTTCGCCCTCAAGACACATTTGAAGCTGTTCGATGACAGATTTGATTTTACATTACAATTTTTTTTATTTAAAAACATTTAAAAAATTCAGGCCCCCAGTCAACTTCTTACCGCATATAGCATGCTAATATTTTAAATCTGTCATTCTTCTCATGTAACGTCATCTTTCACTTAATTCTATAAATAACTACTTTATTAAGTCCTATTGAATAACTTCGTTATTGCGTTAATTGACATTGAAAGTGAGTGAGTGACCTGGTATTCGTAGAAGTATTTTTGACATGCTTATTAAATAGCTTACGAATTTAACAATTATAACACATTTTGGTTAATAGTGGTGGTCGGAGAAGTAAAATTAATTATTTATCTTCAAAACATCGATGCAAAAAATTAAAACAAACTCAAAAACTCTGTAAATTATAATATATAAAATACTAAATTATGGATAAATAATGTCTAAAATGTGAACGTAAAATGTAAGTATAAAGATTAAAATGTGAACGTAAAATGTAAGTATAAAAATTAAAATGTGAACGTAAAATGTAAGTATAAAGATTAAAATGTGAACGTAAAATGTAAGTATAAAGGATTAGAGTGTATCATTGTTGTAAACAATAATGTCGCAAAGCAAAACAGAATTGACTAGGTTTTAAAAATGTCATAAACATGATCCAAAACAAACAAATCTTACACCATATTTTTAGGGGTAAGGAAACTACGACTGAAATACATAAAAAGTAACATACATAAAGCATAATATTTTAACGTTAAGAGCAACGCACGTTAGAAGTTAAAAAATTATCTACTGACTTTTGGCTTCACATTTATGTAACAAGTTCAGTCACAAGAGGTCCGTTGTTTTTCATACATGTAAGAGCGAAAATCAATGTAAAAACTCAATTCTTATGAGCTTAACTTAGATGCTGATTTTTACAGATATCATATCCGAATATACCCTTCCTCTTTTACGTAACACAATTAGATAGATTTATGTCAAAATTAGTCAAATTCCCAAAAGCATAAGGAGTAATCAAAGATGCACACATAAAAGGAGATGACGTTAAAGATACTTTTACTAAATCATGCTATCATTGTAGTTCCACATGTTAGATTCCTGATTTTTATAACTAATCCTCTGATGTACAAGAGTTATTATTTGGGAATGAAACAATATTATTATAACAGTAACCTACATGACCGCCGAAGTTTCTTAGTTAATTAGTGAATTATTAAGTTAATTAGTCACTTTTTTGTTACTAATTGATAATTACATTGAGCATGTAAATAATTGATGTATATATATATATATATATAGTAATAAAAATTAAATAATTAGTAATTAGACTTACATAGTCATATAGGTTACAAACGATGACCATGATGGACATCGATTCGCCACAATCTTACCGTAAGTACTTAATATAATTGTATAATTGTGACAGTTTGTGACTAGCAGCTTTCTCTTTATAACCAGAATACTTCAACGTCATTGCTACATCAGAGAAGAAAGCAAATATTCACTATACTTTCATGTGAAAATTGTGTGAATTTATAATGTGAACATGTTACATTAAAAATATTGTTGTATGTTAACTGGAAATCCTTGACTCATGCACTTTACCCAAATGTCATCTGGTAAAAAAATTATATTTTACTTACATATGAAAGCCATAATAGTATATTAATTTATCACGATCAATAAATTATGAAGAAAAAGCCCTACAATTTCCGGAAAGAGCAGAAAAGAATTTTAGTGTTATAACAGGTTGCGATAAAAAATATTAAAATATGCATATTGACGAAACTGGTATTTTGTTCTGAGAGTTTTGTGGTTTCCTTTTTTTAATGTATTGCTATAAACATTCTCGAAGGCGCACTAATAATATTTATTAATATGTGAAAACCGATTTAAGTTTCGTTAATTTTCATTCCACAGTAAATACTAAAAAATATCCATTAGGTTCGAGAATACCTTATCAATATGTGTATTTTAAAAGTACATATAGTAAGTTTGAAAGAGCACAGTTCTAACGTTTTTTTAATACTCAACTTTATCAAACTTCGATAAGAGCAGGACTTAGAAGACAATGGAAATTTCAGAAGGTAGTGTATGCTTTATATATTAAATTAATTAAAATATGGTTTAAATAGTTCATGGTGTTAACAATAAACATTGTCGGATAAATCCAGATTTTAAATAAAAACCGAACCTCTGAAAATTATTTCTATTAAGGAATAGTTTTTGACGTGAACGCCTTTTGCCGCTGAATCATGATCTACATTGATATGTCAGGCAAGTTAATAATCTATGGTCCTTTTTTATGTTGGATATACAAGACTGTTTAGTGTAAGTGTTATTGGTTAGTGTATTTTATGACTTAATGTTTAATGACTGTTTAGTTTTTAAGACAAGAGTATTGAAGATGGATTGTTTTAAAAGTGTTATTTGTAACAAATTTGGTTATGTAACTCTGTGCGAATCGTAGGTTGTGTTTGCAACTACATTGTTGTCTAGACTTACAAATATTGTTGACGTCACGTTACTCAAATCTTCGGTATTTTTCTCGTTACGTTAACTGAATATTGTTACATAATAACGCCGCTTGCATACTTTGTTGAAAATTCCAGGCCTCAGTTGGACAAATTATATATATAGGTGAAAAAACGAACGCAAGTCAAGTGAAGAGTAGATAAGTGAATGAAGTGAAAGTAAAGTTCAGTCAGAAAAAAAAAAGTTAGAAAAGCCAGTGTATGAGTGATTAGTCATAACGGGTGATATTTTAAAGTGAATATTCTTTTGAATATATTGGATTGTGTGCTGTCCGTTTATCGTTGATATCTATCGCCAACAAGTCACAGACACCTACTGTAGAAGAATCCTCAGCTCAACCTTACATACTTAAAATCCTGACATTGTTCTTACATATTTTTACTGTAGTGCTCGTTTTACCAAAGTAAGTTTATGCAGCATTAAACTTGTTACACGTCAATGTTTTGATCACACTTTTGAATCTTATGTTTGTTAGACAAAAACGACTCTTTCAGTTTAATGCGAGAGTTATGATTTAGATAACTTATATAGCGCGAGTGTTAAATCTAGTTATTTATCGAAGTAATAGTTTATCGAAAGATTGTTTGTGTAACTGTTTACGAATCATACGTTGTGTAGTCCAGTTGTTGTTAACTGGCGATTGTTATGTTATTGCATAACGTTACTAGAACATTTCTTGTTGTTTTAATTGAGTATTATCTTATATATATATTGTAAACCGTGGTGTCTGTCCGAGCATTCGTCTGTCTACCCTTTGAAAAGCTGTGCACACAAGCCAAGATGAACATTCACTTTTGAAATGAGTGGAGAACAGGCATGAATAATGTTGATGCCAAATTTCATTTCACAAGCAGAATTTTCTACACTAAATTGTTAAGAATTAATCACACTATCAATCACATTTCAAAATGTGACGTAACTTAAAGAATAACAATGTAGATTTACGGTATGTTATTGTTTAGTGGATCTCAGAATGTCTGAAATGCTCAACAATTACTTTTTTGCAGTGGACAGTATAAGTATCTCAGAGCTTTGGCTCTTAGTGAAACCAAACGTGCAACACAATTAACCTTTTTAAAGTCCATGAAATAATTCAAATTGATAGATTAACTTCAACTTTCCTGTCACTAGAAACGTGTTCTTTTGCTTGTTGCATCATAATATCTTGTAGTGAATGGAACGTTTTAGACCTCTTTCGGGGTATAAATACGCATCGAAAATTTAGTTCGAAAGATAAATCTAGACTATGTAACTGCGAGTTTAACCATAAAGAGCCCCCCCCCCCAGTGGCACAGCGGCACTACTGCGGACTAACAACGCTAGAAACCGGGTTTCGATACCCGTGGTGGGAAGAATACAGATAGCCCATTGTGTAGCTCTGTGTATAATTTCAAACAAGCCATAAAGAGCGTATAGTGGTGATTCTTAAAGTAAATTTATCACAGATTGTATTGTAATAACAAAGTAGAGAGTCCCCTGGTGGGACAGCGGTAAGTCTTCGGATTTACAATGCTAAAATCAGGGGTTCGATTCCCCTCGGTGGACACAGCAGATAGCTTGATGTGGCTTTGCTATAACAAAACATACACACAGAGACTAGAGAAGAATAATTCGTCTTGTAAATTGTGTTCTAAAGTAATGGAACCAGCCTGTGTGGAATTTGACGAAAAAGAGACAAATATTTAAAGATATGGATATAACTGTAGTAACCAACAGTTATAGTAGTAATTTAACTATAACTGTATGCTTGTAAGTAGTAAGTGTAAGAGCAACTGCAGTTACATGGCTGATATATAATGTAAAAGATATTGTCGAATTTGTGCAAATTCAAATGAATTTTTAGTTTTACTAAACGAACAGAATGCATCCTCTCACAAATAAGACGAAACATTTGACTACAGAGAATATAGTTAAATAAGTTCACTATGTACATACATGCAAAATAGCATCTTTATAAATTAGAAAATGTACAAACAGAGAGTCGAACAGTAGATATAGATTTTTTAAAGACCCTTACGTGATTAAACGGCCGAGACTGAACATATTTGCAATTCTTTAGTGGGTGTCTGTGAATTGTTGGCGATAAATTTCAACAATAAACAAACAGCACACAATCCACTTGTTTTCAAATAGTATATTAAAACAAGTCAGACGTGTATACAAATGTTCGTTACATTGTTGATTATCACAATTGTATCTAGAGCTTTAAATAATTGTATATTTTTTGTCAAATTCGACACAGGTTGGTTCAGTTACTTTAGAAAACAAGTTGACTAGACGAATTATTCTTCTCTGCTCTGTTATTACAATACCGTCTGTGATGATTTCACTTTTATTCCTAATTATGAATCAGAATGTGAGCCTTTTGATTATGTTTTACATATTACAAGAGTTCATTTATATTTCAAGAAAAAATATGTTCTACCCTGAACAAAGCTATTTAAGAATAATTACAATTTTTAATGTTTTAACTACACCAAAGCAAGACCATCATAACAAAATAATGTCAATCATCCCTACAGTTTACTTTTATGGAAATCAGACATCTTATTATCTGTAATCGGGTTGGAAAAAACATATTATTGATTATTCAGCCCACGCAGAATGTAATGTTTCTTGGCATCGTTGCTGCCAAGTGTCTTGTGCATTGCTATGAGTGGAATGCAACACTTTGGAATCTAGCATCCAGACTGACCTCGTGAATGCTGATTTTAATCGTCTGTATACTGACATTATTCTCATATTCGACTGCGAAAATTCAGTCTTGACAGATATCCTACCATTGACAGTTAACAATGTTTGTCTATATTGTGGATGATGTTTATCTTGTTCAGGTGTCCGACTAACTATTTGGAAGTGATTCCGCCATATTCTGCAAACGGCATTTTTAAACAGTTGCTGTTAAGTTGTAACGGTGTGCTGTATTTGGTCGGCTTTTATTTGTTCGAGGGTTCTACAAGGGAATAAAATATTTAATTGTCTTCTTAGAGGTCTAGATATAATCACAAACACTATGGAAAATTTTAGTTTCTGTAATTCACTTCAACGTGACAACAGAAGTAAGACTGTATATCATATATACTACATATATCATATAAGCTGAGTGACTATTCATAATGGCTGGAGACGGCTTGAATGGGTAATGAAGAAAAACTTTAATATAAGTTTAACATAACAGCAAATGTACAACGTTTCGACCAGGCTTTTATGATTATTAATCCTTGTCGTAACCTTGTATTTTTGTTTT